GGGGGGGGGGGGCGCAGCAGAGAGAGGCTGCCTGGGGGGTCAGTGTGGAGAGGAGCCGTGGTGGGGTGCTGGAGAGGGAGCAGTGGGGTGCTGGGGTGGATGAATGGTTTAGGGAGTGACACTGGGATCTTTAGGGGACAAAACTGGGATGCTGTAGAGGATAATACTGGGATGATATAGGGGATGACAATGAGATGCTTTACGGGATAACAATAAGATCCTGTAGGGGATGATACTGGGATGTTTTCCGGGAACATACTGGGATCTGTAGGGGACAACACTGGGACGTTGTAGAGGATGATGCTGGGATGCTGCAGGGATGGCACTGGGATGCTTTAGGGGGTGACAATGAAATGCTTTACAGGATGACAATAAAATGCTAATCTAGGGGCTGATGCTGGGATTCTTTAGGGGATGATACTGGGATGTTTTTCCGGAACATACTGGGATCTTTAGGGGACAACACTGGGATGCTTTAGGGGATGATGCTGGGATGCTTATGGGGATACTGGGCTACTTTAGAGAATGATGCTGGGATGCTGTAGGGGATGATGCTGGGGTGCTGTGCGGGAAGATCTGGCATGTTTTAGGGGAGGGTACCGGAATGCTTTAGGAGATGCTGGTGGGATGCTTTAGGGAATGACCCCGGGGTGCTGTAGGGGATGGTTCTGGGCTGCTGTAGGGGATGATGGCAGGATGCTGTAGGAGACAATGCCAAGATGCTTTAGGGCATGATGCTGGGAAGTTTTAGGGGACTGTAGTGGGATGCTTTAGGGGATTTCACTGCAATGCTTTAAGGCATGATGCCAGGATGCACCAAGGGATGATGCTGGGATGTTTTTTGGGAGAGTACTGGGTTATTTTAAGGGATGACATTGGGATGCTATAGGAGGTGGTGCTGGGATGCTTGAGGGGATGATGCCAAGATGTTTTAGGGGATGGTGCTGGGATGCTTGAGGGCAGTGATGGTGGGATGCACTAAAGGATAACACAGATGTTTTAGGGGATGACACTGGGATGCTTTAGGGAAATGTGCTGGGATGTTTCCTGGGAGCATACTGGGATCTGTAGGGGATGACACTGGGATGCTGTAGGGGATGATGCTGGGGTGCTGTGAGGGAAGATCTGGCATGTTTTAGGGAAGGGTACCAGCTTTAGTTGATGCTGGTGGGATGCTTTAGGGAATGACCCTGGGATGCTGTAGGGGATGATGCCAGGATGTTTTGGTGCCGGGATGCACTAAGATAACACTGAGGTGTTTTAGGGGACACTGACACGCTTTAGGGGATGGTGCCAGGATGGTTTGGGGAATGACGCCAGGATGCACTAAGGGAGAACACGGCACTGCTTTAGGGGATGACACTGGCATGCTTTAGGGGATGGTGCCGGGATGCTTTAGGTGAGCAGATTGAGATGCTTGAGGGGATGACCCGGCGATGCTCTGCGGGACGCTGTGTCAGGCTGTCTTTCCTCCACGCCTGGCAGACGCAGGAGGCTGGTGGGTTGAGGTCTCCTCGCGGGGTGTCCCAGCCCGCCTCATTACCGCCGTCTTTGGGAAGCTGGAGCCCATGTGTTCTCGAGACGAGCAACTCGGGGTATATTAACATCCCATTTCCACCTCTTTAATATAGAGTTTGTCGAGATCATTTATCAGCCAAGCCTCCCTTCAGGGCCGGGGGAAGCCGGGCAGAGCTCGGCAGCTGGGTCACGGCAAGAGGCGAGGGAAGCTTGTCCCCGAAGGAAGCCAACTCCGGGTTTAACAGGTAGTGGCTCATGTGCGAATTGCTAGTTTGGGACCGGCACATCATTGGGAAAGGCTCTATCAAAGCTGGGCTTAATTGGGTGGAAGGCTTGTTTGCATGGCCGCTAATGGGGGATCAGAGGGCCGGGGACCCAGCGCTGACGGCCCTACAAAAGCAAGCAATTACTTGCTTGTCTGCATTATGTATTAACCCATCTGGGGCCGGGATATTGGCTTTGAAAGGGAAACAAAGGCGGAGGCGTGACGATACTCCCCACGCCGAATTAGCCCGCCTGGGTCCTCTTTGTGCAGCAGGCAGGGCAGCTGGATACGGGCCGCAGCCCCTAAGGATGCTGATGGGTACCGGGGTGCGGCAGCAGGGTGCTGCCTCGCTCAGCATCCCTGTGTCCTCCTAAAAATTGCATTGAGCTGCTTTTCTTGCCTTTTCCCCATCACCACAGTTTCCTGCCCATGGCCACATCTTGGGGTAATTAGATCTTTGGCTTTAATTAGCCACCGTTGCCATTAATAAGTTTATGCATCTTTTTGGCAGCTTATTTTGGCAATGGGAGATTAATTATGAATGGGTCAGTAAATTGCAGTAAACACTAGCCTATATCTAATGGCTCGTCCGCTTGGCTTTTTGGCTAATTGTTAATTATCTTCATTGAATTGGAAGGTTGGTTGGAGCAAGGCAGTGGGGGAGCAGCGGGGAGCAGGGGGGTGTTTCCCCACCTCTGCCTCAAGTTGCTTCCCGGAGAGCTGAGGACGGCCACAATTCATTGCACAGGTGAGCTCTGACTGAGAACAGCCGCAACTCATTGCACAGGTGAAGCCTGGCTGAGAACGTCCACAACCCATTGCACAGGGGCGATCTCAGCTGAGAACAGCCACAACTTGTTTCACACTTGAGCCCCAGCTGAGAACAGCCACAGCTCATCGCTTGAAGCGACCCACTGTGGGGAGGGGCTGAGAACAGGCACAAATCTCTACAGGAATGACTCTTGGAGGCAGTTGGTGGGTTGAGGGGGGACCCACGAGCTCCCCACCGCCGTGTCATTAGCAAGCGGTCAAATGGCCCTAATGGGGACGCGGGGCTGCATCGCAATCAGCTGCTCTAGAGGAATAATGAATTTTTCAATCCCTAATTAACCGTTAACCTCATTTGCATTCCTCCCCCAGCTTACAGCGAGCCCCTCTAATTGGGGCCTGATTAGCTCCCGGGCAGGGGTGTTTCCAATGCGGCACAGTGCCGGTGGGCTTGGGGACGGGGGGAAGGGGCTGGTGGTCTCCCAGGTCTTGGGGATGCGGGTGCCCAGGCATGGGGACACACTGGCAGTGGGTGCGTCCCCATGCGCTCTGGGGACACTCCACAGGGTTGGAAGTGGGGACAACCCTACAGCGACATGCTGCAGGGGTGGCAGAGGGTGCAACCCCTTGGGAGCACGGTGGCAGCAGGGATGTCCCTTTGGGAACACACCAGCGGTGGGTACCTGCCTCTGGGGACACGCCACAGGGGTGGCAGTGGGTGCATCCCCTTGGGGACAGCCTGCAGGTTTGGCAGTGGGGACATGCCATGGGGGTGGCAGTGGGGACATCCCTTTGGGAACACAGTGGCAGCAGGGACATCCCTTTGAAGACATCCCAGCAGTGGGGACATCCCTTTGGCGACACAGTGGCAGCAGAGACATCCTTTTGGGGACACCCTGCAGGGCTGGAAGTGAGGACATGCCACAGGGATGGCAGTGGGGACATCTTTTTGGGGACACCCAGGGTTGGCGGTGGGGACATGCTATGGGGGTGGCAGAATGGATGTCCCTTTGGGAACATGCCAGCAGTGGGGACATCCCCTTGGGGACACCCTGCAAGGCTGGCAGTGGGGACATGCCACGGGGGTGGCAGTGAGGACATCCCTTTGGGAACACCCTGCAGGGCTGGCAGCAGGGATATCTCTTTGGGGACATGCCAGCAGTGGGGACATTCCTTTGGGGACACGGTGGCAGCAGAGACATCCTTTTGGGGATACCCTGCAGGGCTGGAAGTGGGAACATGCCACGGGGGTGGCAGTGGGGACATCTCTTTGGGGACACCCAGGGCTGACAGTGAGGACACGCCATGGGGGTGGCAGAAGGGATGTCCCTTTGGGAACATGCCAGCAGTGGGGACATCCCTTTGGGGACACAGTGGCAACAGAGACATCCTTTTGGGGACACCCCGCAGGGCTGGAAGTGGGGACATGCCACGGGAGTGGCAGTAGAGACATCCCTTTGGGGACACCCAGGGCTGGCACTGGGGACATTCCCCTGGGGACAGGCAGCCGGTGACAAAGAGCCTGCCATCCCCGCAGCCCCCACCCGGTGAGAGGGGCGGTTAATGTCCCCGTACACCCCTACCC